GGGGGGGGGGGGGGGGGGGGGGGGGGGGGGGGGGGGGGGGGGGGGGGGGGTCCTTTCCTTCTACTGCGCGACTGCTGCGCCTCCTCCAGCAGACTGCTGCTGTCGATGTCACGGCAGCCCATGTCAACTTTGGAAAGTGCCTCCATTGGCTGTAGAGACTCAGGGACATCCCTCTCGACTGGGTTTACATCTCGAACGGTAATCTTTGCTATGAGATAAATGTTTAATGTTTACTTGCTTGAAAAATGCCGGGTCAAACCCCATCATCCTTGCATCACCGAACAATGCTCACAAGACGACTCTCTATTCAGTGCAGTACATCCAGACTAAAAGAAGACAGCAACGACGTCGGGAGTACGGGAGAAGCACGATTAACACTACTACTCTAGACGGATCAAGGAAACTATTATACCAGTGTCCTTCCAATGAACCGTCAAGTTTTCTTTCCCAGACATCGCACCGATGCATCAGCAGTTAGGATAAGCCTACGATCTTCTGGATCCTTGCTTATAATTGTCTTCTTTTCGGGTCTTCGAGAAATGTTTCTACCCTTTTAGGGTAGTTGCAATTGCGACCACCGCAGGCGTTCGCTTCCCTTGGACCGGTACGGAACTCAGAAGGTGGCGAGACATACGATAGCTGAGCACAGAGATAGACCGCTGCTCAAACAACATATTTGTGCTGTAGAACAATGACCAGGTCGGACTCCGGCAACGTGTCTACCCGCCGTACCTGTACCCATGGATTTTCATTGCACACGAGACAGGATTTCAGAATCGGGTGGGCATTTGATGTAGGTATAAAGACAGTGACGTCGAGCGGGCAACGCCGCAGGCAGACACCTCTGTGGTATGCATACGCATTGGCATGCACAGCAGTAGATACGTACCTCGCCAAACACAGCTGGAATGGGATTACCGAACGTGAGAGCAAGTGCAACATTGTTGTACTGGAAGGAGGTAGCCGACGCAAATGGTGGCCATAAACCGAGCGCTTCGGAACACTAATAGATGAGGGGGGGGGGGAGGGGCAGCTTGATTTGGGCTGCATGCGAAAGGAACGAACCCCGCCTCGTCCCGAGCAAGGATGCAGGGTGCTCGAAACTACATTAGGAGCGTCGGCATTCTACAACATCCACGGCAGTTCGTGGTGTTGCTATACTATATGCCTGTGAGTACCGCACGGCGAGCACCGGCCTGTCGGGACGTTGCAAACAGAAGCAAGGAAACCAAACGCGGTGGCTTGCTAATGGGTGTGCAAAAGGAACCAAATGCATGGTCTACTGAAGTTCGACGGCGGATGTAGCAGCAGCGTTAGGTGGCGGGGAGTGGGGCGTCTTTTTTCTGGTGAGCCGGCAGTGCTAGTGCACTGCGGTGGATCTGCTGGTGCCCTGCTGCTGTCGTGAATACATCGCCGCGTCGACAACATGCACAGCTTTGGACACCATGCGGACAGATGGCGGCATTCCAGCCCTTGCCTTCACCACATCCTTTCGGCGCCTGCCCACCGCGCCCTTTCATCTCATATGAGTGCCTTTCCAGAAGCATCACGCGGGTTCCATTCTATGCATAACCAACTCAACAACATACACACCGCAGCGCCTGCAACTGCACCTCCCACTCCCACCAGCTCCTTCGCTTCATCCAAAAAGCCAGACATCATCAGAACAGTAGTAGTTTGCTGCTGCGCACAGCGGGCGGGTCGCGGCTGAGCGACCGCTGTCACGCTGTGCCCGTCCGTTCTTACCTTCAGAGGAGCCATTGTGAAGAAGACGTGTGTTTGAAAGGAAGAGGGTAGGGAGGGAGCAGAGTGGTAGGAGCGGGAAGAACAAGTGTGGTGCGAAAAGAGGACCCGTGCGTCTGCTGGCTGGTCTGCCGCGACGGAGAGTTTGGGGGGTCATGAGATTGGAATCCCACCCCTCTACCTTTGTTGTTCGCCTTGATTCACGGAGCACTAAGCGTCGTACAGGTATTTAGTATTTATTAGCTGGGAACTGCTGGGCTAGCCGACCCACACACCACATCCCGTCCACGCCCCTTTTGTATAAGCCAGACAGCAGAAGCAGGCGAAAGGTGAGGAAGAGATGGATTTTGTGTTAGGTTGACTGTGGCGAGCAGAGTTTGGCGCGTTTACGGCGGGATGGTTGTGTCCAAGCCATCGCCGCCGCTGAGCTGCTGCTGTCAGACGTGCTCGGGGATGCGGTCTATCAAGTTGACTAGAGTACTACCAAGTGCCTCACCCAGGATCGGGTGTACTGCTGTAGCCATCTTCCTTGTTGGTTCGAACCTTTGTGCCTGTCGCGCAAAGACGGAGTGCGTTTACTCTCAGCTGCGATACATATAGACCATATTGTTTTTTTTGGGGTTTCACTGCTGCCTGTGGAAGCAGCATCACGCCTCCGATTTGCCGTTTGTTCGAGGCTGCTTGCAGCACGAGACATGAAATCTCATCTCAACTCAACTCGGCACAGCGGCGATCCGCACACAACAGACTTTCCGGTATGTGAAGACTCGGGGAACAATGGCACAGCGGCAGCACTCTCGGTAGAATGCAATGTGGTAATTTATCCTCGACATCGATTGTAATTGTTTGCCTGTTCTCGACAGCTTATCCTACCCGTGGGGGTGCGAAGTCTCGCGTACCCCGGTGCAATCAGTATCTACGCCTTTTTACACTATTACTCTCAGCCATGAGGGCACACAGTAGCATTGCCATCTGTACCGGATTAATAGCTACAACGTGTGTTCCGCGCGTGTTAGGTGCCAGGGGGAGCAGGTAGCAACCTAACACGCGCAAAAAACAGGGGGCTCCGGCAAAACAAGCCGGCGAAACGGGGCGGTTGGGGAGGCACCGGGCAACGATAAGTGGGGGATCAGATCAGGGCTGGAGTAGTCCCGGCGACCATCGTACAGAGGCTTTCGCCCGCTGTTGGGTTCGGTGGTACGGTAGTAGTGCGGGCGCGATGGAGGCATTATCGCTGCTGCGGCAATGTACCATGGCGAGGAAGACCGTGAGGGAGGAGAAAGACCACTACGTTTTTGGCCACAAGAGGGTGCCCAAGGACACCCCGACCGCCTGGAAGTCACAAGTGCAGAGCGAGGTGAGCGCCCGCCGCCGCCGCCGCCGGGGGGGGAGAGGGGCACTCATGCCAACGCATGCCGTAGTTCGTTAGACCATTGACCTCGCATCCATACAATGCCCGGACGGAGCGGCATGTCGGTTTTTTTCGCCGGCCCAGGCTATGTTCTACAAAGGTGAACCAGAAGCTTGATGTGCGTTTGCTTTGCCGAACCAGATGTGCGCGCGCGGGGGGTGATGGGCTGGAGGCTAGGTGGTGCCGTGTGCGCCGCGTATGGTGACGAGACCCTTGTATATCGGGTAATTGTGGACTGACTACTTTCAATGTTAATCCACCTGTGCCTGCTTCTCCTGGCTGCGTACGTTCAAGCTTGCACTTGCTAGCCTTTTTTTCTGGAGCGTGAATCGGTCAAAGCGTCCCCCCCGCCCCCCTCCTCAGTACTACAGCTTAAAGCAGCTGGTAATCCTGCTGGAGCACGCGGACGCGCCCATGGTGACGTACATCGCGGCCTGCACCAGCAAGGGTGTCAAGTGGGTAGCCTCCATCGAAAAGGCGGACGTGTTGGCCTACCTCAGGGGGCAAACGGACGATGCCCCTCAGGTGCGTCACGTTTTGGCTTTCGTCCGGTTCGAAAGTGAAACTGTCACATTTTTTGTTTTTTCTTTCGTGTGCATAACATGACACCGAAAATCCATCCCTATCCATATAGATTTGAGGGCCTGGGATGAATTGGTGGTTTGTTTTCCGGGTGGGAGACGCTGTGTTCTTCCCTTTATACTTGTACCTCCATGCCATCTGCTACGTTTCTGCCGCGGGTCAATGCAGCACGCCAGGAAACTTGTGTGTCTTCGAACAGGGGCAAGGATCGCACCCCTCTCCTTCGCTGTTCTTGCTTTTGGCCGCTTTTTGCGGACTGCAGGCAGCGGCCGTCGGTGTGGCTTGGGCGGCACTCTACTCTCTTGTGACTCTCTCTGAAAGTTTCGAGTTTGAGAAATCGTGTGATACTGGTCGGTGCTTCTACTCTCTGAATGTTACACGTTCGATGTGGATGTTCGTGCATCGGAAGCGTGGCAAACTTTCTAGGCGTCGTTCTGGGCGGAACTGTACCGATGATAACTCTCTCCTCTACAACTTTGTGTTCGATTGGGCTGTTGGTTTGTACCTTTTTTTGTCGTCTACCCACCGCTACTGCCGTTTTTTGTCTCTCGCAGATCGATAGGACAGCAGCACCGACGTCGTCGGAGAGGGCTAACAAGCGCTCACACAACGAGCTCCAAAAAGGTGAGGAGAGAGAAGCAGAGGCAGGTGAAACGGTCACAGTTCTGCCGCCGCTCGTAGCAGCCGGAGTGGCGTTAGTGTCCAAGTCGTTTGATCGCCAACCAGAGGCGTCAGCCCCGTGTATGCTCCGCTCACTTTAGGGTGTACAATTCATTGATTACTCGATGCTGTTTTCCGCCATGAGATAAACTTGTTGCATCGCGTCATCCTGTTAACCCACCCGATGTGGAGCGTGGAGACTGGGGGAAGGCCCAGCCACTTGTTTGTTTCTTGTGTGGTGACCACCGTTTGCGGGCATGTGCCAAGTTATGCTTCGTTCCCGCCCGGTGAGTGAGTGACCCGTCCGTTGCACTATTGAACTACAAGTACCGCTCACGTTGGCAACTTCCTCGTCAGACGATGTATCCCTCGCCGTATTACCCCACCCTCCCAATCGATACGTCAGGATAGACAAGCTAGGGACATTTTTGAGCCGCCTTTGGCGAAGCAGGAAGGGAACGATTGGCCGTCGGTGATCGATCCTGTGAGATCAATGCTCGGTCCTCTCGAGGACGCGCTTTGTCGAGGGTGTAACCGCTAAGGCATACAAAACTTATCAGCACGCCCCTCCCCCCGCCCCCAAGAACAATTATATATATATATATCTGGTTTGGCACAGCAAACACATGGAGGATGACTAGCTTTCCTTGTGCAACGTAGCCCGGTCCGTCGAAAAACCGGCATGTCGCTCCATCCCGGCATCACAGGTCAATGGTCTGATGACTACCGCTTGCGCTTACATGAGAGTACACCGGTCGCCCCGGTGGTCTAGTGGGTAGCCTCGCAGCCTGCTAAGGGCCAGGTCATGGGTTCGAGTCCCGACAGAGAGAGTTTTTTTCTCACTAAATAAATCCTGGTCTAGGATGAAAGCGATGCGCTGCAAAGCTCGTTTGTTAGGAAACCATAATCGACTTCGTAAGTCGCGAGGGAACGGATTGCTGTACCCTTCTCGCGATAAAAATACCTCAGGCATGAACCGCAGGAGGGGGTCCAACCCCCCCCTCCTATGTGACCCCGGTTGGGTCGTCTAGCTAGTAGAAGTGGAGGATAGGGGCCAGAGGGGCAGACGACAGAGTCCAATGATGGGAGAAAAACAATAAATCAAAAACAAAACCCTACCCCCCAACCCCTATCGACACGAAAACCACAATACGTTTGATCTTCAGGCATGACGGATACCGAGATGCGAGAGGCAAAGAAGGCGCACGCCCAACGCTTGGAGAACCGAGGAGGGGGGGGGAGTCGCGCGGGGCTGCTGAGCGGACAGGACCCCCTGTTGTCGAGGGGGGAGGGCACGGGAATCGGCGGGATATCTCAGGACAAGCTGCTGGAGCTTCGGGCCAAGCGTCTTTCCCACAAGCGAAACACCATTGTGTCGTGAGTAAAAATGATTTTTGAAGCGTTTTTCTTGGCTTTTTCATGCGGGTGGGGTTTGTGAGCAAGGGAGGAATGCTCTCTCTCTCTCTTTCTCGTCGTCGCGTCGGCTGATGCTCGTGCTCCGGCGGTCCGAGCACGATGGTACCTTGAGCGTGTAGAGGACACAACATGCTTGCTCCACACGCTGCGTCAATGGCGGCCGAGCACCTGCCGAAAAAGCACGGTAGGTTTTCCACGGTGGTGTTTGTTTGTGACTATACTACCAGGTATACGAGGACAATGCACACAATTCGCGCACTTTTGACCTCCAAGGACGGGCCGTTGTCGCTTTGTTGTCGAACAATTTCGCGTATTTTTGTTCGTTCGTTCGTCAGGGTTGGAGATGACGCCGCGGACAACCCCGTGGACCCCAAGTTTCTGGGTGCTGACAAGATGATCGTGGCCAAGGTGAGGGCAGAGCCACCACATGACACGAAAAAAAAACGAACCCCTTTTTTTTGTTTGCCTTGTTGTTTGTTGGAGAGGGGGTGGTGTGGTTGCTGGGACGGGCAGTGCGGTCACGGTGATCATTCAGCAGACAAGATAAAAGTATCAGCGACGGTGAAGTACGGGTTACTTTGGGGTAACTGATTCGTCGATCGGATAATAACTGTGCCGATTCGGGTCAATTGTGTGTTGAGTCGGGTCAAATATGTGTCGGTTCGGGAGATGACTGTAGCCGGAGTAATTATTTCCAAGGAGGACTATTCCCCCGCCCCCCCCGGTGTTTGCCATCGGGATTGGGTTTTCGTCGCTTCGCAACGACGTTGTAAAACAAG